ATGTATTTTTGAAGATGTATTTTAGCAAAATATTATTCTAAAAAACTCGGACAGTGCAAACCTTTTTTTGGTCCAAAACCTTGAAATTTCTTTTATTCTTAATCCTACAACTAGTTTCCTCTGCAGATTCACTGATTTAATTGTTTTTTTTATTTATCATATCTTACTATAGCTTCTGATTTACCTTTACTTTCATAAGTCTCTGTGTTATTTCTACAAATGTCTTTTCTTTTCAGATTTGGCGTCAAAGCAAGATGGAAACTCTGTGGGTCTTGGCCATCGTAGTATTCGGCATATCAATAGGTAAAACAGTAGCAATTGTCAAACGTTTTTGTGTTGATCAGTTTCGGTTCTCAACTAACTAAAAATTTCTCACGCGTTATTCTTCTATACAGGTGTAGCCCCAGCGAAAGGTTCGTAGATGGTTTCCATTGTCTTAATTTTATTTAGCTGAGCATGCCAAATTTCTTCCAAAAAGAAGTTTCTTCATGTTTATGCGACGCTTTACAAATGATTCTATTCGAATAAATTTGTTCTTAACGATTCTACGTTCTTCAAAATTTTTTATCCCATGGTTTGCTTCATGTTTTATTGATGCATAAAATATCCTGTTATTTTTCAATGCCAGCATAGACAATAACCTGAGTTCTACTCAGGTAATTAATTCAACGTTCAAGATTAGTTCACATAAATTGGCTCTTCCAAACGACAATACCTTCAACGTCAAAAACGTAAGATCGGAGGGTGTTTTATGTGCCTTAAATACTAAGACTAGCGCAAAAGAAAGGTACTTCTCTTTCTCAGGATAATCTTTCTCTAAAGTTATTTATCGTTCAATTTATCCCGCTCTTCCAAGACGAGTGGTGCATGTGTCGCGCATATTTATTTCTGAAGTCTTGAACTGGGTCTCCGAAGTGAGCCAAATTAGCGTCTCAAAACAGATCATTTCTAAAATTTTTTGGAATCACCGACTACGGAAATGATTTTGAAAAAAAAAAGCCGGGGATAATTGCCCAAGGAATAACATGAACAGGTACGATCTCACTAGTCTCCTTCCTCTATCTGTTTTTTTTTATACTATCTATGCCGCCATTATTTGTTTACTGAAAGGCACAAAATCCTACAGAATTTTTGAAGACTTAGTATCATTCTATCATGTGATCGTGTCGTCTGGTCGCCTTGTTGAGAATAGTCCTGAGAGGGACTGTTGTTGGTAGCAGTGGGTGACATTTCTACAACCTGAGCGAAATTTTAAAAAAAAAAAAAACCTGACATGAAATGAAAAACCCGATTGTCTCTTGACTGTGATGATGAGTTCTGCTCAGGTAGTCGAAAAGTCAGTCTTCACTATAGAGGGATTTTCCCAGGCCTACTCTCACCCGTACGATCAGACTATATAATCACATACTACCATTGGATTCACAGTATTTACTGTATTGTATCGTGCGTAGGTGGCTGTCTTGACCAGAACATGGATGTGGCCATTGTTGGTGACATATCGAAAAGCATGAAGAGTGATCACCGAAGTAAGTTGATAGGACTGGTTAAATCGTTGGTGGACAAGATGGGTGTTTCTCGCGAAGGAAATCACTTCGCAGTTGCCTCCTTTGGATCGTACGCCGCAATCCATACCAATTTTAACAACCAGAATAACTACAAAGCGGAAAATTTAAAAAGAGTCGTTAATCAGAGATTTCGTGTTGTTCCAACAAAAGTTGGAACGCGCACTGATCTGATTCTGCAAAAGGTCAATACCGCATTGTTCACCCCAGCGGGAGGAGACAGACCTGATGCCAAGAACATAATGTTCATCTTCACTGATGGAGAGCCCTGGATTGGCAAGTGGGATAAAAGAAAAATGATTCCCTTTGAGGATTCCACAAAGGCTTTGGAGGTACTATCGCTAAACTCTTAATTAACTTTGATTTGATTAATCTGTCAGTGTTCGATATTGACTGTTGGGTAAGAGACAAAGACAGCTTTGAATATGATATGACATTTCCACCTAGCTAGAGAGCCTTTTGATTGGCAGTGCGTAAGTAGTGCCCTCAACGAGGACGATTTCAGAACGAAACATTATTTATTAAGAGCTCTGAATGGTCGATTATTGTTGCTCACTGACCTGTTTTCCGTTTTCCCATGGATGATCATAACTCTCTCTCTACAAATAACAAATGAAAATAATTGTCATATGTTACCGATAGGAAAAGTAAGTCCCGTGCAAAGGAAAATGCTATCAAAATCGCATGTTCTTTTGGTCGCACCCAGGGAAATAATCATTTTCCACCCACACTTTCTTAAAGTCTTGAAGTCTTTGATAAACCATAAGATAAAAGATACATATCCTATGTTACATAAACGAGAAACTGTGTAATGATAATTACAGTAATATACTATGGCCAAAATTAAATTATGTAATTAAAACAGGTTGTGTTCAAAAACTAGTCTATTCACAAATGCGTTCATGAAACGTTCTGTGTTAATCTTTGGGCGAAGGCAAACCTTGCGACGTAAATTACATTGCTGGGGTTTAGGCTTCGGCAGAACTTCATTTAACGTATGATGTCCTTGACATTCAATGGAACTGGAATATAAATATGATTGCATTAAATTAACGATAAAAAATTTATCATTGCATAGAAAAATTAGGTGTGGCTCAGAATAGTACATTGCTATGCCGATCTCTAGACCTAAACGAGAAAAGCTCTTCAAATTTTCATTTAGCTGGTGACGTCTGCCAGATGATGAATATTGGATATTAACTAAAAAGGGGATGTAGCTGTAGTACGTAGGCCTGCAGTCTTCGGTGTAACATCAGGACGGTGCCCTTTGGGTTGTAAAAACTACTTCGAAGCCGTTTGAACAACATAAATTTGCGAAATTTTGTGACAGTTCTTCCTCTGATACATGAACAGCCTCGTTCTCGGGCTCACTGACTTTTTAGTTTTACCGAGCACTCAAATGACGACACAATTAACAATGCAACGATGCTCGACGACTGATTCTACTACTACTGATTCTGCATGGCTATCAACAGATGCCGGCAAACAAGAACTTCAAAGGGGTCTCCAGTTCCTGTCATTTTCGCCGAAACTATGGGGAAAAACAGTGAGAAATACACCCTCACAACTTTCCGATTTATGACATTTTTAGTGACCTTTTATGAGGATTTATGACACTTTTATGACCGCTTTAATTACGCTACGTTAATGATAGAGCTACCGCCATGCACAAGGACAAAATTGTAGTGTTCCACAGTCACCCCAGGAAGTAGGCTGCAACATACATTTTACCAGAGTATATAAAGAGGGTAAAACTCTTTTTTTTCCCGATAAGCTGTGCCGAGAACACGTTACGGACAAAAGTTTACTGATACTGACATATTCCTAGACGAGTCATCTTAATGTCGCGCCACCCAACATCATTCTCCTTGAATCTTAGTATTATTCTTCATCTGCTCAGTTTTTCGAAACATCCGTCCTATAATTAACCAGTGAAAACAGTCCTTTCAGAACCAGTGTAATTTAGAACATCAGAGTACATGATCATTCGTGACTCTTGGCTTCAAACCGTCAATTTTTTTTCCTTTTCCAGGCAAAAGATGTAAGCATCGTTGTAGTAGGGGTCGGCAAGAACTTTCCGGAAAAAGAATCAAACTTGAAAGACATAGCTGGCAGTAAAGGAAAAACCCTTCGCTACGGCAATTTCGACGCACTCTCCGGAAAAGTGGACGAAATCCTTAATGAAATGTGTGGTAAAGCTTTCGCTTTTCTGTTTTTTTTTATGCTTTTTTTTCTTAGAACCATAGTTTTAATACCTCTTCAGTTTGATGATATTCTGCCAATCGACGCTTTCGAACATTTTTCTTTAACAAAGATGGAAGTCCCAATTCTTCTATAAAGTTTTATATGAGACCATGACCAATCTACGCATTTTGATTGGTTTCTACTTCTGATCTATGGGAAGAAAGACACATAGATGATGTTAACAGTAACAACACTTCGCTTTTTATCATAAAAAGTAAAGAGATTCTATTTTGCCGTGAATCTGTACAAATACCGAAATACGTCAGATCACAGAAGACTTTGAAATGTGTTGAGCGCCACTTTTTAAACAGACACACGGCAACATGGAATCTATCTGTCCAGTCGACGAGGAATACACTTAGTTGTGTGAATCTAAGTTAGGTATTCGCCCTTTTCTGGCGCCATTTCCTTTAAAATGTTGATTGCCGGCTTTCAAATTTCCCGCTTCATCGCGTTGCTGTTATGTTAAAGCGATGCTAATGAGGTATGAATATTAAACATGTCCGGCCATTCTGCGCCATGCAGTGTCACGTGTGGAGGAGAAGTAAAGACACTCACACTAGTGAAAACGACTGCAGTAACTGGGGGTAACTGAAAAGACAGTTTCATGCAATGAAAGTGAACAACGGGCGTGTACAAGTTATCAAAATACTAGTTTGAATCACTAATCGCTTTGTGGCAAAGTATTGGAAGTACAGAATTGTACGGTATAAGTTTCAAATTGAAAAAAAAAAATGTACGTATGGAAAGACAAGTCTCCCATTTATATTTTTGTTTTAACTGGAATTTAATGTAATTAAATTTCTTTTGTTACAGAGGTTCAAAAAGATGCAACAAGGTTTTTGTATACACGTCAAACATAACATAAAGCAAGCAAAGGGAGCACAACTTTTCTGTATTCTTTCTGTAACTCATTCCGTGCATATTCAGGGTTACGACTTCTCAAAAAGCCACGTTCAAACATATTTTTTTTCGGCCTTTTCCATTCGCTTTGAGTTTTATCCCGACTGCGATGGTTCAATCAACGGGTATTCATGTCGGTGGTGCCTCCATGAAGCTAAATTTTGTATTGGTCACGTCATCCATGCTTCTGTCCGTCAACACTATTATATTGTCATTCAAAGATGCGAACACCAATTAGACTTGACGTTTTATTGTACAAATAATTGACTTAGTGTTTATTTTCTCTCTCCAGCAATTGACGGAGGCTACTCTGACTGGTCTGAGTCAAAGTGCAGTAAGACATGTGGAGGAGGAGTAAAGACTTTAACAAGAACCTGCACCAATCCCCCGCCAGCTAACGGTGGAAAGGACTGTAGTGAACTGGGACCAACGAATAAGACAGTTTTATGCAACGAACAAGAATGCCGTGAGTTCTTCTACAAGATCTTCCAGCAGTTTTTTATTTATTCTTATTCAAAATCGATAGTAATGAGAGAACCATGCAGTTTCGTTATTTTAATATAATTCAATTATATCATCAAAAAGTACGCACAGAATCGAAAATAGATCTACCCTGACTGAAGGCGTTTTGGTTATGTTCAATTAGTTGCAGAAGGATTTTTTCCAAATGCTGGCTTAGAGCTTTAAAACCAATTTTTGCGTCTACGTTGATCAAAGAGATTGGCCTTTAGTAATTGATAAACTTTTATATTTATTTTTATCTGTAACATGAAAATTGTAAAGATGGATCAGATATGTTCACGACTGAAAATAAGAAAAGATGCATTTAGCAGGAAATGAGAACCATGGAGAACACATTAATTGCCTAGATTTTGCAGACGAATCGTCACTTCTTTTAAACACTAGCTAACTCACCTCTTTATGCTCATGAAGAAGCTGGAGTACTCGTAGGAAAATGAAATGAAAAAAAATTGTATTCCCCAGCAACGACCCGAGCATCTTTGCAAAAGCCAAGACACTCCGGCTATAATTATGTGATGAACCTGGTCATATATCATAACTTTGGATAGGACTTCAATATGCGTAATGCTCTTGCATGAGGTGACTGCAACAAACTTCATTAGATCCACTGTTTTAATGTCCAAAGTCTTCTGAAAATCGAGCAATACAGAGTTATTTTTCAGCTTGCACTGTCTTGCACCTCAGCTCAAACACACGTGAAAAATATCATGTTTATTCACGTGTGTTGTTACGGCTTTTCTCAGGGCTGGAAATCCTTGTAACTTATATGAGAAAACTTTCTATCATATTTAGAGGCTTAAGCAGAGTTACTTATGGGGTACACAGGTGGACTGATGTTGCGTAGCTATTTTAACCTTACTGCTGTCATTTGTTGCAACTAAAAAACCACTGATACATTTCTTCAGATGTTACTTCATGTTTATACGACGCTTTACACATGATCCTATTCGAATGTACTTGTTCCTGACGATTTTACGCTCTTCAAAAAATTTTTATATCCCATGGTTTGCTTCATGTTTCATTAATGTGTAAAACATCCTGTTATTTGCAATGTTGGCACAGACAATAACCTGAGTTCGATTCAAGAAATTAATTCTACGTTTAAGATTAGTTCACACAAATTGGCTCTTCCAAACGACAATAACTGCAACGTCAAAAACGTAAGATCGGAGAGTGCTTTATGTGCCTCAAATACTAAGACTAGCGCAAAAGCAAGGTACTTCTCTTTCTCAGGGTAATCTTTCTTTAGAGATAAGCTTCCCAGAACAGACCATTTCTATAACCTGCTGGAATCACTGACTACGGAAATGATTTTGAAAAAAAAAGCCAGGGATAATTACCCAAGAGATGACGTGAAAAGGTACGATCTCACTAGTCTCCTTCCTCTATTTTTTTCTTTATACTATCTATGGCGCCTTTATTTGTCCGCTGAAAGGCACAAAATCCTACAGAATTTTTGAAGACTTAGTATCATTCTATCATGTGATCGTGTCGTCTGGTCATCTTGTTGAGAATAGTCCTGAGAGGGACTGTTGTTGGTAGCAGTGGGTGACATTTCTACAACCTGAGCGAAATAAAAAAAAAAAAAACCTGACATGAAATGAAAAACCCGATTGTCTCTTGACTGTGATGATGAGTTCTGCTCAGGTAGTCGAAAAGTCAGTCTTCACTATAGAGGGATGTTCCCAGGCCTACTCTCACTCGTACGATCAGACTATATAATCACATACTACCATTGGATTCACAGTATTTACTGTATTGTATCGTGCGTAGGTGGCTGTCTTGACCAGAATATGGATGTGGCCATTGTTGGTGACATATCGAAAAGCATGAAGAGTGATCACCGAAGTAAGTTGATAGGACTGGTTAAATCGTTGGTGGACAAGATGGGTGTTTCTCGTGAAGGAAATCACTTCGCAGTTGCCTCCTTTGGACCGTACGCCGCAATCCATACCAATTTTAACAACCAGAATAACTACAAAGCGGAAAATTTAAAAAGAGTCGTTAATCAGAGATTTCGTGTTGTTCCAACAAAAGTTGGAACGCGCACTGATCTGATTCTGCAAAAGGTCAATACCGCATTGTTCACCCCAGCGGGAGGAGACAGACCTGATGCCAAGAACATAATGTTCATCTTCACTGATGGAGAGCCCTGGATTGGCAAGTGGGATAAAAGAAAAATGATTCCCTTTGAGGATTCCACAAAGGCTTTGGAGGTACTATCGCTAAACCCTTATTTAACTCTGATTTGGTGAATCTGTCAGTGTTCGATATTGACTGTTGGGTAGGAGACAAAGACAGCTTTGAATATGATACGACATGTTGTATATGTTATGTTGTATATGTTGGCTCAAGTACCTTTATTTCCCTGGTATTATTATTTTCTAGTCTTATAGTATCATACTTCATCTGCTCAGGTTTTCGAAACATCCGTCCTATGATTAACCAGTGAAAACAGTCCTTTCCGAACCAGTATAACTTAGAAAATCAGAGTACACGATCATTCGTGACTCTTGGCTTCAAACCGTCAATTTTTTTTTTCCTTTTCCAGGCAAAAGATGTAAGCATCGTTGTAGTAGGGGTCGGCAAGAACTTTCCGGAAAAAGAATCAAACTTGAAAGACATAGCTGGCAGTAAAGGAAAAACCCTTCGCTACGGCAATTTCGACGCACTCTCCGGAAAAGTGGACGAAATCCTCAATGAAATGTGTGGTAAAGCTTTCGCTTTTCTGTTTTTTTTGGTGCTTTTTTTCTTAGAACCATAGATTTAATACCTCTTCAGCTTGACTTTCCTAAACAAAGATGGAATTCTTAATTGGTTCTCATTTATAAACTATTGGAAGGAACACACATAGATGACGTCACCAGCAACAACATTTGGCTTATCGTGCAAAATAGATAGATTCTATTTTGCTATGAGTCTGTACAAATACTGAAATACGTCAGATCACAGAAGACTTTAAAATGTGGTAAGAAAATCCTAACTCGTGGAACTCCCGCTTTACTCATGGGCCATGGGGCTCCCATGGCGCATCGATGGCACTCCAGGAGCTCCCCGCGGCGCGCTAACATCGATTTTTTTCACTGATTTTTTTGAACCGCGGGACGGACTTGAACTCCTTTACAATGAGTGAGTGTGCTTGGTAAGAGATCACATGGTAGTCATTTCTCTGAGATATTACGCGCACACTAAATTTTGCTGTCCGTTATCTCCAGGACTGCCCTTTAAAATTTAGTAATACCGAACAATCCTTAAAAAACATCTGTAGCACAAACTGTATCAAGTTCACAGTAATCAAGGGCCGGCTGAACTTGATTTGTTTGGATTATGTTTGGAGTCTTAATCGCTTAACTAAGCGATTTGAGCACGATAGGTTTGGCTTCCATTTGATGTTGCCTCAAAATTTAGGTCTCTCTGTTGTCATTTATCAGATATTACGCCTTTTTATTTACACAGCTCTTCCATGCACAGCAGGACTGGACATTGCAATTGTTCTCGACAAATCCAAGAGTGTAAAGTTACCAAATCTCGAAAAGGCTATCACCTTCATAGGTGACCTTGTTAAAACATTCCACCCTGCGCCTGATGGAGATCACTTCGGCTTGATCACGTTTCATGAGAAGGCCCAAATGGTGTTTAAATTTGCCGACTCACAATATCATGAAAAGAACGCCCTCTTGCAGAAAATAGCCAAAGAACCTCGAAAGCTGGAACTATACACCCGTACCGATCTGGCCCTGATAATGGCGAGGGATCAGCTGTTTACCGAGGAAGGAGGAGACAGACCAGACAAACCAAATGTGATGATTGTACTCACAGATGGAAGACCAACAAAGCCTAAAGGCGACAAAAGTTTTAACTTCAACGAGTTTGCCGATAAAATAGCGGAAGATTTCAAAGTGAGTTTGTTGCTGTCGTTGTTATTTTTTTTTTTTTTCTCGCAGGATGTACAATTGGCACTCAATCTTATTTATGTCAGGAAAGATTTTTCACTTATCTGGGTGAAAAAACTTGTAGTTAAACGCAAAGATACCTTGCTAGCTATGCAAATATGTATCACAGTCAGTAATTTTGATAGCCATCCCGGAAATTAATTCTTAAAGCAACGCAGCACAGCAAATACTGTGCTTTTGTCTACACAGCTGATCCAAACTGCTGTGAAGTAGAAATGCTTATAGCACAGAGCCCCTGCATTTCAAGTCTATCCTTTCAGTCATCATCATTCAATATTTTTCTTAGTGTTCAGATGTCACGTTGCAGAAAATATGAAATTGTGCTGTCGTGCCGTTTTGTTGTTACTTTCTTGCGCTTTTGTGTCAAAGGTGTTGCAATTAATTCTCTAAAAGACGTGACTCTGATCTTCGCATGAAATCAATAACTATTAATCTGTGCAGGAGACCACCCGCCACTTAGCCAAGTGTCGTTTCTTCAGAGAAAATGTTTCATTAAACTCGAAAACATTAGGGCATTTGTTAGACTAAGAATCAGTCGATACCTTCAGTGATAAAAACACTTTTACATATGAAAATTAGCAGACTATCACCTATCTAGAAAAGAAATTGCATTAAATTGGAAGATCATGCACATACGAACTTGCAGTAAAATTATTTTTTCGAGACTTAATGTTTCAACTGCGATCTTCATTTCAGAGAAGTTTCTTTGGTGTCACCTCTTATTGTAGTTATGTTTCCTGAAGTAGTATTGTATGGCTTTATCTATGCTAAATTCATGATTTAACGTGTCATTCATTGCATGCATTTATAAAAGGATGTTCGAGTAATTGCTGTAGGGATTGGTTCTGGTATAGATCAGCCTACCCTTCTCTCAATTGCTCGTGAAAAAGACCAAGTCGTTACGGTCGGAAGCTTCAGTGAGCTGGCAGACGAAATGAACACAATAAAATCAAAGGCTTGTTCCGGTAAGTTTGCATCAGTCGCGACCAACTAATTTCCTTCAAGTAAATGCAGCACAGTAATTGTGAAGCATAGGGCTTGTTGACAAACCGAATTATGTTGTAACTTTTTTTGTTGTGTATCAATAGATACTTGTTCGCCGAGCTACATGTAACTGACTTCCACTAAACGTTAACCACGCTTGCTTACTATCAATTAAATCAATCGAGGTGAATTATTAAGGATAGCTCCAAAAAGTTTTGAAAGAGGGACCCGATGAAGTTGTAGAATAGAGAATAGCTGTCAGACTATCACTATGGATGAAACTTCATGTACTTGAAAACGGACAATTATGAAAATAAAATACAAAAACCGAAAGGAAATTTTCTTATAGAGGCTTTGAAATCTATTTGAGATTGTCTTTAGCCTTTAAACATTTTTTAATGATTTCCATCGTTATGCGTTATAACGTCATAATCAAGTGAAGATACAAATTGGCGACAAGAGAAAACGAGCTCGAGTTCCTACGATCAATAAAATTGTATACCTTAGACGAAAGAAGGCGTTAAATCATTCATAGCTGCTAAAATAAGTGGTACCTACTGATTGACCAAATACACGATCGAATTAGCATGATTTTCTCTCCAGCACTTAACGGTGGCTATTCAGAGTGGTCTGAGACTGAGTGCAGTGTGACGTGTGGAGTAGGAGTAAAAACATCAACAAGAACCTGTACTAATCCACCGCCGTCTGCTGATGGAAAGGACTGTAGTGGGCTTGGACCAGCAAAAAAGACAGTTTCATGCAACGAAGCAATATGCCGTAAGCATTTTAAGTAAGACTTTTCGTATCACGTAGAGTAAAATTTCCGAACCATATCACCGTTTTTGTTAAAAAAAAAAAAACCACCTTCGTTCTTACAACAGTTGCTGATCAACTCTGCGTCGTCATTTGAAACCTAGGTAACAAAATCAATTTTATTCCGATGGACTGATTTTAATATGCTACCATGGGAGTTTCCAAGAGATACAGTTGTGCAAAGTACTAATATCGGCTGACCGTAAGTTTTTCGGTGAAAATAGAAACCAAATTAAAAGATAGTACGAAAAAAGGACGAGTGAAACAAAAAAAACATACGAGCAGCATTATAGAGCCTGAAAAAATGAAAACAATTATAATTTGAAAAAGTTTGTAGAAATTTTTTAAAATGAAAACTAACCTTTTATGCTTATACTTAACCTTTCATCACTTGAATAGATTGGCGGTATTTTGTGTTCGGCCTTCCTATTCGCTTTGAGTTCTATCCCAGCTGCGATATGTGGAGTCTTATTTTTATTTATTGTAGCAATTTTTATTTCTTGTAGCAATTTTTATTTCTTGTAGCAATTATTATATAATGGCACAAGTGAAAAGCTAAGCGTATGACACAATTAAACGTGTGTTGTGTGGTAGGGTAATCAGGAAAGTACCATATCACCACACCACTGTTACCTACAAGCTGTATACATTTATGAAAAACAGAAAACTAATAGGCCAGGGGTGTGGCAAACAGAATCGGTGGTAAAGAGCGTAGCAAATGGTGTCGGTGTTATTGTTCAGTCTCTAAGTACGTCTGTCATTTGTCATCAAAGATGAATAATTTGAACGGACCAGCCAGGCAAGTGAAAATAAGGGGCGGTTTTGGAATCTAATAGGTAACGGTGAATGAGTGATTGCAAATCGTAAAATGGCGTCGAGCTAAAAATTGAAGGCATTATTGACCATAAAAAAGTTAAACTTAAAAACATACGGTATCTTACATGACCTTGCAGCCTTCTAACAATATGAAAGTAATGCATTTCATTTTTCTCTATTGAAAGCAATTGACGGTGGATACACCGAGTTTTCTGAGTCTGAGTGCAGTATGACATGTGGAGGAGGGACAAAAAATCTGACAAGAACTTGTACTAATCCGCCGCCATCTAACGGTGGAAAGGACTGCAGTGAACTGGGAACAGCTGAAAAGACAGTTTCATGCAACGAAGCAGAATGTCGTAAGTATCTTTAGTGAGTCACCTAGGGTAAGAGCGGTATATTGAGACGTAAAAAAGTTTGTTTACCTGTTCTATATGCTATAGCTGAGGTAAATAAGCACAACTGAAGTTGCAGCTTTTGGTTGTTTGTATAGCAATTGATGGTGGTTACACTGAGTTTTCTGAGTCTGAGTGCAGTGTGACATGTGGAGGAGGGACAAAAAATCTGACAAGAACTTGTACCAATCCGCCGCCATCTAACAGTGGGAAGGACTGCAGTGAACTGGGACCAGCTGAAAAGACAGTTTCATGCAACGAAGCAGAATGTCGTAAGTATCTTTAGTGTCACTTTGAGTCACCTATGGTTAGAGCAGTTTATTTAGATGTAAAAAATTTTGTTTACCAGTTCCATATGCTATAACCGAAGTAAATAAGCACAATTTAAGCAGCAACTTTTGGTTGTTCGTGTAGCAATTGATGGTGGTTACACTGAGTTTTCTGAGTCTGAGTGCAGTGTGACATGTGGAGGAGGGACAAAAAATCTGACAAGAACTTGTACCAATCCGCCGCCATCTAACGGTGGCAAGGACTGCAGTGAACTGGGACCAGCTGAAAAGACAGTTTTATGCAACGAAGCAGGATGCCGTAAGTATCTTTAGTGTCACTTTGAGTCACCTATGGTTAGAGCGGTTTATTTAGATGTGAAAAAAAATTTATTTACCTGTTCTATATGCTGAAAAATGTCGTATTTATTCACGTGCGTTGTTACGGCTTTCCTCAGGGCTGGAAATCCTTGTATCAGACTGTAGCTTATATGAGACATACTTTCATCATATTTAGAGGCTTAAGCAGAGTTACTTATGGGGTACATGAGTGGATTGATGTTGGGTCGCTATATAGACCTGACTGCTGTCGTTGTTGCAACTATAAAACCATTGATACATTTCTTCAGGATATTTTATTCTTTCATTTTAACAGCTCCTCTATGCACAGCTGGACTAGACATTGCAATTGTTCTCGACAAGTCCAAGAGTGTAAAGTTACCAAATCTCGAAAAGGCTATCACCTTCATCGGTGACCTTGTTAAAACCTTCCATCCTGCGCCTGATAAAGATCACTTCGGCTTTATCACGTTTCATGAGAAGGCCCAAATGGTGTTTAAATTTTCCGACTCACAATATCATGACGAGAATGCCCTCTTGCAGAAAATAGCCGAAGAACCTCGTAAGTTGGAACTATACACCCGTACCGATCTGGCTCTGATAATGGCGAGGGATCAGCTGTTTACCGAGGAAGGAGGAGACAGACCAGACAAACCAAACGTTATGATTGTACTCACAGATGGAAGACCAACAAAACCTAAAGGCGACAAGAATTTTGACTTCAAGGAGTTTGCCGATAAAATAGCGGAAGATTTCAAAGTGAGTTTGTCATTGTCGTTGTTTTGTTCTTTTCTCACAGGATGTACAATTAGCACTCATCTTACCTTTGTCAAGTAATGAGTGAAAGGGACCTTAAAGTAATTTGAAATATCATGCACATATCAAACTCGTATGACAACCTTTCCCGTGACATAAATTTTCAAATGTAATCATTAAATTAGAAATGTTTTCTATCGTATTTTTCCTTTTTTCATTTATGCTTTCGTAAAGTATTTTTGTCTCCATGCATGGTTCAATCCATGTTAACTTCATGATATCTAACAACGGATATTCGTAGTTTAAGGAGCCGATTACTGCGTGCCTTTAACGCTGTCCTCTCTATTAGCATATACTATAGTGCATTATTTATTATATTTATTTATCTTGTTAAGGACAAGGATGTTAGAGTTGTTGCCGTAGGGATTGGCAGAGGTATAGACAAAGGAACACTTCTCTCAATTGCTGATAACAAAGATGATCAAGTGGTTGAGGTAGAAAACTTCAGTCAGCTTGAAAAGGAGATGAACACAATCAAATCAAAGGCCTGTTCTGGTAAGTTTAAATCAGCTTCACCTTTCTTTTAATCTCTTCAGCTATGGTCAATGACTGATGCCATTTTGACTTCATTTCATTGATTTTGGAAAATAATGTTGTAGCCTTGTATAAGTAATTTTGAGTAGTTGTAACTGCTTTTGGCTTAGAATTTTATACATTTATGCATTTATACATTTATGCATTTGTGCATGTTGTTGCAGTTCTGTTGATTCCTTCCATGTATTCCTTGTTGAATTAAACAAGCTCATTTTAATTTTTTTTCAGAATAAAGACGCACTGTATTTAAGACGTGTCTTCCATCAAAAGGCAAATATTGGTGCAAGGAAGCTGCTGCAGTGTTAATTTCACAAAATTAGTGTATCTGCAGACGATATCGGTGATGGGATGAATGAATAAAACCTTGATCTACTGCTTTGCTTGTCAATGAATGCTGTTATATAACTTCGGCCAGTTTTTTTTTTCTTTAATTTAAATTTTTTTAAAATTTATTTATCTTTTTTTAAGAAATGGATAATAAGGCTAATGGTGTTAACATTAACATTGGTGGTAAAACAAAAAATGGTCCTACTGTAGCTGGAAAAATATGCGCATTAAGGCGCAGCAAAATTCTCTTTGCGAATTTATGGGGATATTTCCGAATACTTCCATATCTATTAATATTAACAGTTCGTGCTTCACATTTTCCAGTAAATCTCACGAAGTTGCTTCATCGCTCATTGGTGTTATATCTCTTGAAACTATTAAAAAAAATCGGTGATGGAAATTAGTTTTTGACACTGAAAATTATTTTTCAGTTTGACACCTACTTTGCCACTGAAGGAAGACACTAGACAGGAGGGTCGAAACGTTGGGTCCATGAATTTTAACTTCTCGGTTACATTCATTAAATCCTTAAACCAGAGTAACATCAAACCATGTCCAAACCACAACCTTTTTTACGATACAAACCTGTATCAGACTCATCTCAATTTTCAAGACTCACGGACTGTGTAGCATATCTTAGGCTAACACTTTTTCTTCCGTATTGTAAAAAAATTAAGATGAAAAGCTGGAAGTCCTTATTTTGTGATTTTGCAGCTCGTGACGCAAATTAAATTTTGCGAATCAATAACAAGTTATAATTACCATTGGTATGCGCGTAAATTGTTGATAGGAAACACTTCGAAAAATGGGTTATGTATCAGAGTTCAAACGATTTTTCTTCCTAAATTCAAAGCGGTAACTTATTTTTCTACCAAATGATTTTTGAAAAACTGCTGCTTGGAGTGTCTTCTATGGTGTCATGAGCTGAAAGTAGGATCGAGAGGCTAATTACTGGCTGCACCGTGGAAAATTAGTCCTGGTACTAATGTAAAAATACAATGCTGTGACTAAATGCCCGGCAGCTGGGCACAGTCTCAAATAGACTGAATTCCCGGCAGTCAGACACTTGTACAGTCAGATTTTCCACCAAAAGGTTTTGTCAAACTATTTAGGATTATCAAATTTTTTTTTTAGAATTGTCAAACGATTCCAAAAATTAAAAATCGTCTGTTAAAAATTTTCTCCAAAATTTCACTGAAAGGTTCCTTTGAAACTGTATTTTTTGTAGACAAATTCTCCGAGCTTGTGCGTACTATAATATCGCTCGGTTGTCGTCGCTCAGAAATTCTACGCTTCTGAGCAGACTGCCGGGCACGGTCTCAATCAAACGGATTCATTTCCCGGTAGTCACAAACTTCGCCAAAATGTCACTGAAAAATTCATACAAACTTATTTAGTATATTCGATGACAGTTTAGAAATGTTCGTTTTTCGTTGGTCAAGCTTGAACGTACCATACTAAAATGCATTAACAATACGGTACATTATAGTTTGCAAGTTAAGTCGTGAAAAAATAACAGTTTACCTGGTTTGATAAGTGTGCTTTGGTGAATATATTATTTCATAGGTACTGAGATTTACCCACAAAAATCGTAGTGAATAAAATTCGTACTGATTCTAAATGTAGCCAATCAGGAGTACGAACGACAAAATTTCACCGTAAAAAATTATCGTTCGTCCAATCAGCAACGCTAACGACGAAATTTCACTAATGATGAATGAACGTACTGAAGAGAACGTCATGCGAGAGCCGTTGCACAAAACCCGCGCGCTTTGAAAAATGGCCGAGGGAAGGTTCGCTTCTGTTTACTCAGTTGAAGAATTCATTTTAGAACACGAAAACAAAAATACCGCTCAAAAAACTGAAAGAGATGTAAAATTGCTTGAAAGATTTTTGAAAACGAAGGACGAACAGAGGAAAATTGAAGATATTCCAGCGGCTGAGTTGAATGAATTCATTAGCGAATTTATTATCTCCGTACGCACTAAACATGGCAACGAGTACGAGCTGACTTCGCTTCGAAGTTTAATGGCCAGCTTTGAAAGACATTTGATTGATATCTGATGAACACAGCTAAGCTTAAGTGTTATGAACTTTATGCACTTTTATTAACTTGTTGTTGAGAAATTTTTAAACTACTTTTTACGCTTTTCATCGCCCCATTTGTGCTATTTGTCTACCAAAGACAACACGTAAAAATCTCAGCACCTATGAAATAAACACATTACAGCATGGAAAATGCTTTGTACGATTTTCATTCACTCGTTGATACGTATCACAGCTCGTGAATAAAAATCGTACGCGCGCATTTTCCATGAAGTAATCTCTATTTATTTTCTAGCGATTTCATGAGAAACACAGCAGATGGATCCTCTGTTCAAGTCGCACACTAAGATAAGATTACAGGTTCGTATACATTCCAATTTCAAGTTAATGGACTTCGAGTACTAATTATGAGAACACTTTCTAAATAAACAATAAAAAAAATATTTTGGATTAACATGACTTTTATATATTTAACAAGACTTTAAGCTTCTTTTTCCTTCTTATTTAAATGAGTGATAAAAAAAAACAATAGGTCACTTAGACCAAAGACCAATGTCAAAAACCTTTCAAAATAAGTTACGTGATTTGTTCTCATAACGGATCGATGTAAATATGCGAAGCAAAGAAATTCCTGAAACAAGAGTTTTGTGAAAAGACGAGCACGGCAATTTTTGCCATTCTTGATAATCTACGCTGTCAATGAGCGGAAATGTTTCGGAAAATTGAGGTGGTTTCGATTACTTTTAGACTAAGACCGATTAGTGGGCAAAGTTTGATTCTTTATACCGAAATGCACCCAACCGCTACTATGGAGATGGTGTTCAGAAACCTTATCATATTCGACTGGGCGGTATGGGAGCGCATTGAAATTTCAAAGCTCCTAACTTTATGCAGCAAATGACAGATGATGTTTTAGAATTCAACTAGTTATTCTAACTCGACATATCAACGGTGTTACAACTTTCTGAACCTACGGTATAATTTCAGGAATCTTAAACAACTAAAACTGAGTAAATTGAATGGCGCGTTTCAACCCCTCTCTTCTAATTTTTCTACGAAATTTACTATTCACAGAAGAAGAGTTACAGATTTGTTTTATTATAAAAAAGGGATACAAAAATGAGAGAGTAAATGAAGCCCAGGCCTTGAAAAGTTGCTCTTGGTCAGACTCGTTTCCATGCCCAATGTCATGTTTTCGGTCTGTCTCCATTTTAAGGAACTATCGTTATGAAATAATTCAAATAGTACGCGCGCTCTGATTGGCCATAAAACCATTTTACATGAGCGTATGAGCGAAGTTATTTTATAAAAGAAATGTAAACTCCATAAGCTGGAAACCACTCCGCTTCGCGTCGTGGTTTCCTTCGCTTATCTCGTGTTCTCCCAACCTCCCGCGTGTTTACATCAGGCTCTGTAAACACGGAAACCATTTTACATTTCTTCACTCTTAAAGCCGTAGTCCTAAAAGGCAATCTGTTGTTTTCGTTCTTGTTCCCTTGAGATAGGAACTATTCGCATAATGTTTATATTTCTGGGGGTGTGCGGATATATTGCCGAAAGCAGCCTCAGGAATCTGATATCATAACCCACGCCAGCGAAGAAGTCAAACACAGCGCCGTTGTCATATCTCAAACAAACACGATCGAGACATTTAATAGTAACAATCGACGATATCCACGGTTCTTACCTTAGCAAGTTGGAAAAGTTAGGTATATGGAAAAAAAAAAAGAAAAAAAACGGGTTGGTGGTAATTCGCGGCCAATACTGAGCTAATAACCCCAGGAATATATCAAACAAAGAAGTCACGAGCACCTTCGAAGTTTTCGATATCTCCCACGAGATAGAAATTTACATCTGAGTTAAAAGGGCTTCTTTCCCAGCATCATTTGTTCTTAAAATATGTTATTCTACCTCCTCCTGATTCCCTTCGAGAAAATCCCCGCTGAATTGGAAAATTCTGAATTTCTTCTTTATCCTTTCGTGCTCCTCTCAGTGGGGTGATGGATTCTTCGGCTGAGGTTAACAACTTTTCCATTGTTGTCAACAGATTATTTTTTAAGTTAACAATTTTTACAACTTATGGTTAAAATTTGCCAATTATTACTCCTAACCACGATTAACCGCATTGAGACCCTCTTGTCGATATTCGTTATTGACCAAGAATGAGGTCAACATAGCCGGTTATTGGCTGAGTTATTTTTTGCGTTCGTCTCAGTCCATAAAAACGAAGAAAAAGAACAAGTCTAATATCCAGCTATCTTGACCTAACATGCAGCAAAAAGATTTCGCTTTATCAAGAAGGGTGACTTGTTTATTACGAGAGTCGGGAAGGAAAGCCAACTATGTTTGTAGTACAATAAACCCACGACATTTATTTATGCTTCATTTGTTTTGAATATCTTCTTCCGTTTTTTGCGTCTCTTGCCAGCGATATTGCGCAATCGTCGCAGCGGTAAATATTCACTCCAAAGCAATATTGGATACGTATCCTTAATGTGGGTCGGACCTTAAACCCTTTCAAGGAGGAAAAATCCCGGGATTGAACGGATTGCAAGAAACTTGACGGCAAAGGTTAATTTCGTCATACTTCTGCAAATTATTTCGCCAGATTTTGAGTGAC